GAGGATTCGGGGACGACGAACCATCAGATTGGACGAGAATCTTGGGAGGAGGAACAGATTGAGGGTCAAGAAACGGAAGAAATCCATTGGCGTTGAAGATCTTGAGGATCTGTGACTTCCAGATGATGTAGTTATCGGGATCAAGAAGAGTCAGAACAAAGATTTTGAGGTTGGATACCACGAATTTCAGATTCGTGGGGATGGCCGGAGCTTCCGCCGTTGATTGATCCGGTTGATCTTCAACTGTGGAGGAAGTAGCGTCGGCCATGAAGCAAGATCAGAATTTGACGTCTGATACCATGAAGAAACTCAAGAAACGTAGCAGATAGAAGAGTTTGGTAAAGAAATGAAAACAATACTATTAATCATCTTATTACAGGGAAACACGGTCTGTGTATATAGACTTGTATTAGACTACAGCCCGTACAGGTATATTAAATAAACATACACGCTATTAACAGAAATTACATAAAGACCTATTGCTCTAATAAGCTCACCATAAAATTTGGAGAAGAATTTGAATCAATAAAAATGGCGAGGGATGATTAAGGGCTCACCCTTGATTTGATAGATCACATGCTCCTCACTCATTAACAGATAGAGCATCTTTCATTTTTCCTCACAAAGGAAACAGGGTGAGTCAGTATGGTCCAGGAGAATAAACCATAGACCAACACAAACGTCACCTTCTAGTATTAGACCTTGTTCTCCAAGCTCATCACCTTCGTAATGGTCAGTGAGTATTATAAAAAATTATCCTTTGTCATCTTGATAGAAAAGACATGTTGGAACAGATTTAGTGACCAATAGAACTTACGCTTATATAGGTATGAGGTAAAGAACATAAATGGTTGCCATGGAGTTTGACATTATCTAGGCTAGGATGATCGCATAATATCTTAGTATCTCCTCCAACTCAACTAGAGTGTGGAGAGTTAGTAGGAAATGATCATAGGACACAACCAACATGTCACTTTGGTCGACCTTGTCAAAAAGTTCTCATGCCTAAAGAAGTGAGCATGGTACCAAAAGTTGTTAGCCTCATCCAATGACCTCAACTCTAGCAACCCAGTTAAGATAGAGAACACCGCAACACATTTGTAGAAGGCAACAATAAACTCTCTCTCTTTAGGCACTCGCAAGGAAGGATCCGGACTCACAATATATTAAAGATCAAAGGAGAGTGGGAGATTTGCAAAGACGATAACATCCACAAGACCCTACGTACCCAATCCATTTATAGGAGAAAGCATCATGTGAAGGAATTAAGATGACATTTAAATCGTATGAAACACAAATATCCACTTTTGTCTTTTAATCCTTACAGAAAGATTTGGACATCATTCCTTTGGCTCACCTCGAGAGCATTCTCTCTCCTAATTCTACCACTCACTCGCCTACCTTTGAGCCTTTCACTACTCATTCGTTGAATTAATCATATTGCATGTTTATTTCCTATTTAATTGGAATTATAAATTCATCCAAAATTCTTCTAAGTTATTCATTCGGTGCACAAGAGGTCACCAAGCATCAGTCTTCTCATTGAACTCCTACCTAGCAGTTGCATAATAAACTTCCTCACCTCACAATATAGAACTCACTATACAACGAAAGTAAGAAAATAAAAAAGACATCAATAGGGAGAATAAGAAACAAATAATGATCATCTAATAAATATTTATTAAATGACAAAGTATAAGTGAATAGAAGAAAGAAATTTATCATAAAGAAGGAAAATCTACTAGCCCTCTCGTATCATCCTATATTAAGGGTCACTTACTACACCCCCATGTTAATAGATCCACACTCTATAGGTAATCCAACATTTTTTTTTTTTAATTTTTAATTTTTAATTTTTTTTATTTTTATTTTTTTTTCTATAGGTAATCCAACATGAATTTGCTACTAGAAAAGAAACTGGATGTCTTTGCATTCTGCACAGATGATGTAATCTCTCCCCTAATAGAACAATTTGATGTCTTTATCACCTCATGGTTACGACTAAGTCACCTGACCTCCTCTTTTAGCTCGGACACTTCTCTCCTTTCTAGCTGTTAGATCATCGATGCCCTGGGGAGCCAATATTCACTTCATAATTACCATCCTCGTCGCAATGTTGTCCAATGAGGTTAGTTCAAACGAAGGGGGGTCAATTGTAGAATGGGCATCCTCAAGAAGGGTTTTAGGCATCACTACACTGGTTTCATCCACTCTCTCCTCCATGGCTTCCTCGATTGATATTTTAGCTATCATTGGTTCCAACTCACTCGTTCTCACATTCTCGCTAGCACCCCCTTAATTGACAACACCTCTCACCTCACTAGCCTTGTCGAGCACAACCACCTCAATGGGTTCCATAGTTTGAGACTCTAACATGATTAATACCCATATAATCAACATTGAAAGCTCATCAAGATGCAAATCAATGAATCTAAGGGGGGAGTTTTAAAGTTCATTTTACAAGATTGTCCCTCAATGAAGGTTATTGAAGGTCACCCATTGATTCAAAGCCTGTAATAACTTATTCTCTCTTATTCAGCAAGCATTGTAATAACTTACTAAAGGAGACACAAATTATAGTCTTTTGCATAGTGGGTACCTTCTTTCCTAATAACATTATTTTTAAATAATCAAACTTTCTTTTCTTTGACTTACTTGTACTAGTACATAACAACTCCACATCCATGCTCTTGCTAATAAGGGAGGCATTTTTTACACTCCTCTTGTTGAACCTTCCATAATAAGAATCGCCTCCTCAATAATTGGGAGAGAGTTTCAACATCCCCCTCCATTGCTAAGGCGAACCCACATGAGAGCTCACCTTTTCTATATGAATTGGCTTGACACTCCTACTTGCCACAATGGGTACAACCATTGCCTCAAGCACCACCTCAATCTTAATCGTTTTTGCATGAGGGGTGGAAAAAAGTTCCCCAAACACAACCTTCCTCTTAGAACCAAGCTCACCAACCTCTTTGGTGAGTTCCTAATCATGTTAATCACCTCACTTTGTAAGGTGATAATGGCGTCGACCGCCCTGCCTGGTGAGATCTCAATGATCACAGTCACCTTGCTCGATGAGGCCTCGATAGAAGCAGTCATGTTCTTCGTGATCCGCTCATCGCATATCTTGTGAAAGGGAAGCTTTCTTCAAAGCCTTCATGTAAGAGCAAGCTTTTGCAGCAAGATTCATCCTTCTTACTTAAGCTTGCTCAAAGTCACTCGATCTCAGAATCGCTATAGTAGTTTATGACTCTTACAGTGCACAAGCTATTTATTTATAGAGCCACTATGAATGGTGGTGCCACATCATCACCATTGGTACAATGCAATCATTGAGGCTATGGTAAAATAGGGCCATAAATACACACTTATTTTTATGATTCAATTACATTTAATTTCATTTACTCATTCTTTTCATCACTCATCCATCAAATGATTGAGTGAATCAAGGAACTAATGTACACATATAAAAATATATTCCCAGGCGTCTTAATAGGTAGTGGTTAGGTCATGATAAAGAGACTAGTCCTCAAGAGGATATCCTTTGGATACTCACCAAAACCAACCAGACAATTCACCCTAAATAAGGTGAGTCAAACAAGGGCAGTCCTTCAGGAAAATCACTCGAAGCTCGCCACTACCTTAGTCATTAGCTCCCCTCACAGAACCATCATCCGCACCCAAGCTCGATCACATGAAGGCCATCATCTAGGATACCCTACTCGCCCCACCAATTCTCACCATTGCATCGATCAAACCTCAGCTTCCTCAGTACGCTCACCTATTCTCCCATGTCAATTTCTGACTTAGTATAAGACCACAACCCCCTACCGATTTGCCACTACAATATCTATTTAACTCAGCACTAGCCCACAATGCACCTTTCATCATGGAGCTCACACTCTATGCCGCTCGCCAATACTATCTCAACATTGCTCCACTCACTCAAAAGAGAATCTTCCATCCCAACTCTCACACCAATTAATCAAGAGACGACACGTGTGCTTAACATGATGTAGCATTATGCGTATAATCTATATAACGTTGTATTTTTTATCTTTTTTTCATATAGTCATGCTCCAAAATCCTATAAATATGAGGTGATAGATACTATTCAACACATTTTTTTCTTTCAAAAGAGGTATCTTGGCTAGTAGGAAATTTTGCTACTTGTGTGAGATCTCTAGTCTTCTACTACTCTTCCTCTATTCTCTACACTCTTGCTTATAGGTTCTTTTTCTCTCCTAGTAAACCAGCTAGTAAAGTAAGGTATCGCTCATGGACAAAGTTGTATAATGAATGATTACTCTTAATGAGACAAATATTTTGATATAAAATGATGGCTTATCATCATCATTCTTATGAACCTAATTTGGTTTACAAACATTCTGAAATTTATTTTTGTCAATCTGACTATTTGAACTTCAATTTGACTATTTGGGCCTCAATCCTTCAACCTCATTAGATTTGTGGAGTTGAGATAACCAAAAGCGATGAAGTTATTAATCCCTTAGTTCTTACGAAGGACTTTATGATCACAATTGTGTGAGAGCGCCTAACTTTTGATTTGTACAATCTTTATGCCCATAGCGCCTAAAAGAATAGTGATCCAAATTTACCTTCTGGAATCATTGTTTGGTTTACGAGCATTTTTTTTTTGTTCCATCCGACAACTGCTTTTCTGTCAAGGCGGGGAAATGCCCTTGATTTTCTTAAAAATTACAGTGAAATATCACTGCTTTGACAGTCCAAATTTATTTTTTATTACTGCTTTTAAATTACCTCGTCATACTTTTTCATTGTTGGAGTTTGAAATCCAGAGTCAACAATTTATCTATTCACACCATGCTTCTAATGCAACCCATAAATTTGTAACCACTTTTTTTGTAGTTTTTAATCAGGCGGCCGACATTTTAAATAACGATCACCATCCAACCGGAAAGGCATCCTATTTATAACAGATACTAAAGTGTTAGTTGAGAATTTAAGACAATATGAATGGTGTTAAACTTGAAGCTGCTCATCCTTATCTTTCTCATCTGTGTGCTACTTAATTAGTTTACATCGCTGCTAAAGAAAAACATTCACAGGAAGTTGGAGTAGTGATCAAGAAACAGAGAGTAGCAATGGAGGTCTACAGAGTTGAGGTGGAAGAATCAATGCCGGCTGTCGGAAGCAACCCATCGGCTGGTCCTGTCTACAGATGCGTTTACGCCCAAAATGGTTTCCTCGAGCTGCCTCCAGGAATAGATTCTCCTTGGGATTTGTTCTGGTAAATATCTATCTATTAATTTTAAGCGCATTAGATAATAGTTGCCCAAATCTTTGTCATAACATTGTAATTATTCTTTCCAACTACTGCTTCATGCTATAGCTAGCCTAAAAAAAATCTAACCCGCTCTAATTCCTTCAAAAAATCTCTTACATTTATTTCTATGTACTAGCATAGCTTTGAGTTTGGAACTATTCTTTTTAGAAGCTTTTGCGGAATTGATTTGCATAAGCTGTAAGCAAAATCAAATCGAAATTGAAGTTTAATTAATATGACTTTTTTTACTCATATCCTTGCAGCAAATCTGTTAAAAGATTTCCTCAAAAACAAATGCTTGGTCATCGGCAAATTATGGATGAGAGGGTATGAAATTTAAGATTTTATTTGGAACAGCTTTCTTACTATTTTCTAAAGCATTTTTATAGTAAAAATATTACAATTTCAAGAAATTTTTGTTCTAAAAAAATTGCTTTAAAAATAATAAAAAAACTATCCCAAATGATTGGAATGCCCGTACGGCCACTTTAACGTTGTAGTTTAACTCGTTAATTACTTGAATTATTTCAAAAATGTTTTCTCTATTATGAATTTTCAACATCTATAGTTGCATAATTTATACTCAATGTTCAGGCAAGCCCTTATATTTGGCAAACATTCGAACAAGTTTATGAAAAAGCTATCAAGATTGGATCTGCCATGCGAAGATGTGGTCTTAGCTCTGTGAGCATATTAATCCCACTCCTTAACATATATAGCTTTATCTTGCAAGTTACAGGAGTTTTTACAGAGATATTTCTTAATTAATTTACTGCAGGGTGATCGATGTGGCATTTATGGATCAAATTGCTCTGAGTGGTTGATTGTCATGGAGGTACAACCATAAATGCGAACTAATGTGCTTTTTTATACCTCACCCTTACCGAGCAACTAAAAGAACCACTCATCATACTGAAAAAAATTGCATGTTCTGTTGAAGTTTGCTTCAAATAACAATTCAGTTTCTAAAATACTTGTATTTGCTCTTACCTATCAGCTTAAGCTTTTGATGTTTAGTGTCTATCTACAAGTGTACTAGACTTAACTTAGTCTCTTGACATTCCATGGCATCATAGCACATAGTTTACTTGGGATTAAGTGTTTTATCCAATTTACGACTCTAATCAAACTTGAATACTTCTATTATGATTGAGCAAACTTGAAGGGTAGGTGGCTGCTGTGGGTCTCCGAAAGGATTCTGCTCGTGTGGTTCGAATGCAAAGAGTACGATCACACTATCCCGAAGGACAAAATGATCGTAGACCTTTACACTTCGAATTAGGTCAATTCGAGCTCGAATTGGGCTCGACGGGGTTCAATTAAATCGATCGAAAAGGCTCGAGAACATTCGAGCAAAAAAAACGAGGTCAACAGCTGCCATGTAGGTTCCATGCGATTGAGTGCAGATATCATGTACACCTTTTATATAATGGGCAATAATGACCAATACCTTGGACTCACATGAGCAAGCGATTGTTGAGATTCATATCAGAATGAAAAGTACTCACATATTAAAAGTGAAATAAGAATTAAATTCATATTAAAAAAAATTCAAAAAAGTCCCCAAACTATTCGTGTATAACCAATTTAATTTCAAGTATCGCCTAGTTTCAATTTAATCAACTGACTCTATAAAATTGATCTGAAATAGTACCTTTTGTTGTAATTGTAATATAAAATTGATCCTAATTTAGTACATCAACTCTATAAAACTAATCCTAATCTAGTCTCAAAGGGATCATATGGATCAATTTTGTATAGTCACGGGACTAAATTAGAGCAATGTTATACTTTAGGACTAAAAATATTATATAGAATAGTCAGAGGCACTATTTTAAAATTTAACCTGTTCTTATTATAATGGTAGTGATACTTATGCAATGAACTTAAAATTTAAGTTGATGGGTAACTATACACTATTATTTTAGGATTAACTTGGATAAGTTTTCCACTTACTATTTAAGATATGCAATAGTTGAGTGATAGTGTTTCTTCATAATCTAGATATTAAACCTATATCACAAGTTTTACACCAATTAGTTTCTATAAGAAAATTAACAAAAATTCATAATAAAAATAATAACTTGCAAGTGATTTGGTTTATTTTATAAATAATTAAAAAAAAAGCTTCATGGAAATAGAGAAAAAAGAAAATAATAAATTTTTTTTTTCCATAAACTTGTCCAACCGATATCTATTTTTTGTAGGCTTGTTACAGTCAAAGAATTTGCTATGTACCTTTATACGACACTTTAGGTATGTAGCTTCTTTCTATCACTCTTTTTTTGTCCACTGAATTATCTTTTAATGTTCTTAATCTGATTGATATTATGTAGATTTGTTAACGATCTAATCTTGAATTGATTCCGCCCCAAACAAAATTGGCTCGAAGTCTTTCAATTTGATCTCAAGTTGAGCCATGTCGATTATAGAATGACTTTATTTTATCTCAATTTGAGCCAAAGTTGTGCATCACCATATCTATATAGCAAAATAAGAGAAAATATCCAAATTTCGTTTTGTTATGCATCTTCAATTTACATTGCATAGCAATGTATTTATTTAAAACTTGATGAAAATTAAGATAAATTTACTAGCACAAAATGGGATAAGAAAATAGAAATAAAATTTTGGGAGGTTTTATGGATCAAATATCTTTGCTTTTCATCTCAAGTTGATATAATCAATATTAATATTCTCAATGAAAATGTTCAAATACAATAAAATTCCAAATTAAAAGTTTATGATATAATAGCAATAAATATGATCATTCAAGCTCGAGATGCTTGTTTAATTCAAGCCATATATTATCTTCTTTTATCTTCAAGATTTTTTCTTGGTACTCTTTTATATCACATAGGTTGTACATACACATGTTTTCAGGAAAATTGATTGCCATCCAACTGAAAAATCTTCGTTTGTTTTTGAGTTACAATAGATAATATCAATGTAATTTCATACAGGCATCATTAAGCAAATTCTTGTCGTAATTGATATCAGCTTACTGCTTGTATCATCTAACCACTAATCTTGCTTTGCCCCCTTCCACTTATCTGCTACTGGCTCCCGAAGACCCACTTCATATCCATAGCTTCATGGCTTTCTAAAACTACGACAAGCTCCAATGTCTCATTCTTTTTTTTTTTTAATGGTTTTTCTCAATCTTTAATTTTGTGCAACTTCTTCATATAAAAGGAATTATTGATTAACTAAATGAAAAATGGCATTAAGCTCATTGGCTATCTCATGTATCTTTTGCAAACTTAAGTTCATTGTTGCCATGGACTATCTTCCAAAGTTGTACAAGATGATGGCAAGTGGGGATTTTGCTCTTTGTTTGCTTGATCTTCTTCTTCCAATAGATGATTCTCTTTGTTATTTTGCCAATTCTAGCATCTTTATTCTTTGAACTATATATCATGGCTCACAATTCTTCCTCAAGCAAGGCTCCTCACAATGTCGAACTCCTCTCATTCGCCATACCAACTGCTAAGCCCCACCGGATAAAATCTTCCTACTGCAGTTCCTCGGCCAATACATCTAATCTCCATTCCCTATCCAACTTCTAGTAGTTGATCCACTCACAATCACTCAAACTACACTCATAGTCACTCAAATAATTCTCACATGTGCTCATTGGACCGATTTCCTCCACTTCAATCACCTGTAATCCCCTCAAAAACCACCAACAACTCCTCTCCACAACCATCTTCTCTCTACCCTTATTATTATTATTATTATTATTATTATTATTATTATTATTATTATTCTAGTCTCACAACCCCACTTTTGACGCTAGTGGCGTGCCGGTGGACCACCCTACATGCTCTCCTAGCATGGTGGGAGGGAACCCGGTGTGATGCTTGTGACGAGGCGGTAGGCCTTTACATACTCTCGTAGCATGGCAGGAACAATTCTAATTACCAGTGTATGTTCCATTATGCAAGCGGGGAAAAAAACTATGGATTTTCAGACATATGCCTCTAAGAACCCTACATGCTCTCGTAGCATGGTGGGATTAAAAATCATAGCTGTGGTGTTACCTGACACCAACCCTATAAGCTCTTGTAGCGTGGTAGAAAAGGCCCAGCTCCCACAATTTCCGTTAAACAGGGGAGATACCAGGAGGCTGCCAAAATTCAAACTAAACACAGGATCTAACTTGAACAAAAATATAGTAGACTTGACTTGAACGACTCATACAGAACAAAATTTGTGAAATAATATACAAGAAACTAGACATTAAATCAATAAATACTTGATCAAGTTTAAAATACAAATAATGAAAAATAATCCTGCTTATTTAATTGAATATCAATAAGTAAATAAAGGGCAATGACAAGAAAACTCTTAGTGTATATAATGACATGCCTATAAATGATGAAATTAAATTAACATGTCATATTCAACTAGCCAATTTACTAGTGATGACCAAGAACTTGATTGAGCATGAGCTCTCATGAGCTTAGGCAAAGAACTTGTAATGAACAAGAAAATTAACCTATGGACACAAGAACTTATGATGCTCACAACATTTGGTCTATAAGCAACATTAGTAGAGTTGCAATGAAAGTAAACACCCGCGATACGAGAAGACTCGTTATGTACACAACGTTTAATCCATAAGTAACAATATATAAATCATCATTTACACCACAACCTACTCACAGTTAGTGCCAGTTAACTTGCGGATGAACTCATTTGCTTGTAAATGATAACATTGACATCCACCCTACAAATACACTCAAAAAAACATGTGAAGAGTGTAACGATCTCCCTACAACCAATATTAGCTAGCTTATAGATACACGTGGCAACCCCTACAAACTTTGAAAGACATGTAAGAGTGTGCGACAATTTGCTAATCAACATGCATAGGGAATTTGATAATGAATGTAGCTCGTCCGATAGTCAGTATCAATCTACAATTGAACAAATCAGCTTGCTTTCAAGCAGTAGTAGTAGGTATACTGCAAGGATAAAGGACCCTTTGTGACTGTGGATATGCAACATGTCACTTAAAAGCAAGCACCGAAGATCACAACAAATCCAGAACTTTAGCAATGCAAGCAATATTAGAAGACATCTTATACACATGAAAGTCTACTTGCAGGCTAGAGAAGTAAATTCACAATGAATATACTTACCCATGGATAGCAATAGAAGACTGAAAATGCATGTACTAAACCTAATTGCAAATGATGGTATTGCTCGCAAATATATACAGGCAGCATTCGATAAATGTCAGAGCATTAATACAGTCAAAACCAATCAAGTATCTAGCAAATGCATAAGATCCTTGCAGATGAAAGGAGCTGACATGAAAGGAAGGAAATGAGTTTCTCGAGATAAAGAGAAATTCTCATGCAAACAATGATAAAAGATTTGCAACACATATAAAATTGCCTACAAGCAAGAATAATATATTTGCAATTCATACGAGCTCCTACGAACCACTGTAGGAGACTCCTCATTTATACAGTAGTCTACCTATGGGTGATGGCTAGCAACATGCAACCATCGTAACAGATGTTGACCCCTATACCTCAAACCACACGATAAAGGACACCAATTGGTGAATAAAACATTACGCGCCTTAGCGCCACATGTCACTTAAAGGGTCATATGACCTCCGAATGCTAAACGGACGACATCGTTGCGATCAGGACATCGAACTCTGCTGTGTCGAGGCCCCTCGCAATTGAATCGGATGAGATCGGACGACCGACACCCGAAATTAAAGCACAAGGCTGATCAAAGGATGTCGGATCAACAAACGGACTTCATCATTGTGTTTAGAACATTGCAAATACTCAAAAAACTGTATTTTACTTGTTCAATTTAGATCATCCTAATGAGTGACATGAATTTCGAGACAACGCGCATTTCAAGGAAATCAGGCCTCGAAGACGCACGGATGACGTCCGATCGATAAACGGACAGCTCCATTGAATCCGGAACATCGTCGACATTCAGAAAATATACTTTATTTGATAAATTTGGATCATCTGAGGTGGTGGTGGATTTTTAGGTGATGCAAATATGATATAAAGACCTGCGTTATGATGGAAACAAGGCCTCGAAGATGCTCGGACGACGACCGATTGACAAGCGGACAGCGCCATTGCGTCCAGAATGTCGTTGACATTCAGAAAATATATTTTATTTGATAAATTTGGATCATCTGAGACAATGGTGAATTTTTAGGTGATGCAAATATGATATAAAGGCCTGCACTACGACGGAAACAAGGCCTCGAAAATGCTCGGACGACGTCCGATCGACAAACGGACAGCGCCATTGCGTCCGGAACGTCGTCGACATTCAGGATATACATTTTATTTAATAAATTTGGATCGTTTGAGGTGGCTTCGTAAATTTCAATTGCGATTCAAATATGATCCAAAGACGCGTATTACGAGGGAAATTAGCCTCGTCGGTGATGGGATGATGTCCGATCGTGAAACGGACCGAGTCATTGTGATTTAAATATCAGCAATACCCTAAATGCTCTACCGATTTCTGACACAGAAAATGGAGCAGTTGGCATGCAAATCAAGAGTTTTTTTTGTTTTGAATTAAACACAAGATTGCAATCTAAAACTAATATTAATATTAATAATAGTATATTATTAATTTTAATATTAGTTTAAAATAAATAAAATCAGAACAAAGTCAAAAATAAAAATCCAATCACATTAATGTGTTTACCTCGGATGTGTCGAAGGCTTCTGCCGAAATCTTCTGCTAAATCCCTGAAAATCCGTCGACGTTAGATCAAATCCTGCCTCAGACGCTGCATTGGTGAGTAAAACAGAGCGAAATAGCCCTTCATTTCTTGGGGATCACTTTCACAGCCATGATCTATTGCTTCCGCTACTTCTTTCCCTTCAAGCTTCCTCTTTGTCTTGAGCTCCAGGTCCTGAAGAAAATGATCTTTGCTCTTCCGAACTCCTCTCCACTACGGCTGAAGTCTCTCTTCCCTTCCCTGTCTGTCTTTGCCTCCTCACGCCCAGGCTGAAGACCACGGCTCCAAATCCACCTCACAACACCAACCGACCTTCTTCCCTCAGCTAAACAACAAGCCCTTTCCACCGTTCAAGTTCAAAGAGCTGCAGCCCTCTCACTCTAGAGCTCCGTCCACCACAGCCCATACCCGATCTCAAAACCTCTGCTGAGCTGGTCTGAGAGCCTTTATGGTTCTACTAAATGTCTAATAGCTCAGCCTCTTCAGGACAGTCCTAGCTCCCTCCTTT